GAGTATGCCCTTGCGCCGAAGCTTTATTGTTGATGTTCCTTATAAACTTGTGTAGTACAGGACTATGACGTCATTGTATGACGTCATAATGTGCACTGGCTAGGGCATGAAGTGGGTGCCAAGTTTGTATAAGAAAACAAGTTTTAACTTTTTCTGTGCAATAAACTAAGCCCTTATGTGCTTTAATTAGTCAATTGCATAGAAACTTCAATACAGTGCCTTAACTTACTTGCGTGTTGAAGAAATAACTACAATACTGTAAACGAACTATTATTCTCGTCATCTTTTATTCGCGATTCATTAGTTTGAAATTCATCAGCGACGATTAATCTAAGCGACCGTGAATCATTTTTACCACTATGAAGTAAAATAAATGGTCCACGGCGTTTAATATTCGTAAATTATAGTAGTTTGCGAAACTAACGAATTTTCCTCGCACGCAAATACAAATTGTTTTACAGTAATTTTACAGTATTTTATTACTTAGGCCCTCTGGCTGATATTGGTGTCTCGGGCTGATACAGAATGTGATATGGAAAGGGGTGTCATTCTCTATATATAGCAGTGACCCTTTGAAGCGTACATGTACATAACAAGATTTTTTTCCATATCGAATCATATATCAGTTAATAAAATTGGGGAAGGGGGGCTAAAGGAAAAACAAAATACATGAATGTACGAATTACAAAATGCAGAGCATATGGATAACTTAAATCACACTAACATGGGCTCTGGTTTTTAAGGTTTCTAAATACGTATATTCTGAACTTGACGTATTTTGCAACTTGCATCACCGTTTATGCTTATATTCGATATATTATCCTGGTTATGTAATTACCATCTACACTTATCCTACACTTATTCTGTAGGTACATGTATACTCATATGCCTGCTGATCGTTAGTGTGTAACATTGGTATTGACTGCTGCATGCATGTACAGTCATAAGCCGATTAAAAAAGTTATATAAACTGCCTTGGCAAATGTGTTTTATGATTTCGATTTTTAACCGGGCTCATTGCTCGTAGAGCAATATCCGGCTTTTGCGACGGTGTTCAACCGAAAATGCTGCTTCATCACCGCCAAATTAAATTTACGAGTTAGAATATATTACGTCTGCGCAATCACCTTTGAGGCAATACAAACACTGAATTAAACTTTCAAATTTATCTGAAATGGTCAAAAAGAAATTATAATAAAATACGTCTTCGACGATTAATTATTTGGTTATATATGCAAAAGGTATTCATCAGATACCCCTGTCTGCATCATATTCTATAAATAAAGATTGTACTATCAGGCTAACAAAAATGCGGGGAACATCATTAATGACTTGATGTACGCTTTGATGCAAAACTTACAGCTGAGGAGACATCTTTCTGCATCCGGTCCGAATAAACAGAGTACGCTAGTACGATAGAGTACTTTAGAGTACGCTAGAAAAAATTTATAATTTAATGCAATTAAACTGCTTTTTGTATGTTTTTCTACATTAGTTTTACATTATAAATATATATCTTAAATAAAATGTTTATATGTTTCTTATTTTAGAAGTTATTTTGATTTTCGATTTCAGGTTACTGTTCCTCGTTTTATCCCGATCTAATTCAACTTCAAATGTTCCATTGTTAATGTGAAAAATATTGAAGTTTACGTAATACAATTATTTAATATTTTGGTAAATAAAATTTAGTTATTTAAAGTAAATAAGTCTGAAAGAAAATAGTAACTGAGATCGGGTTGTTGAAAACATTTAATGCATTAAAATATGAATGTTGCTTTCCTGTCTTGACTATCGCTAAAATTTCAAATATTTGGGACAAATGTTGCAATATTATTTTATAATACTGTTTAATCAAGTAGTATATACATGCATTAACAGTCTAATCATATCAAAATACACATTTTTTCTAGCGTATTCTAGCGTACTCTGCTCTTAGTAGTACCCTTCTGCTTCAGTGTTTATTTAATTCTGTTGGTATATAAAACCCCAAACGACAAATATTTTCGCTGTTAAATTCTAACTTCATTTTACTTAATTCTTAAAGCTTTATTGTGCTATATATGACATAGATATATATAATTATCTTCTCAGTGTCTGAATCGGCTTGTTTTTTAAACTGTCACTGAATGAGCCCGGCTTTCTTCTGAGTACTTTGATTATAATGGGGAAGTTAACTTTACTGGATTATTAGATTTACATTGGGATTTCTTTTTAATTTATGTGAATATGTGCGATTATGATATATGTAACAATAGTAACATAACATTGTAAATTTGTTGAACGTGGAATGGTATTTACGCTTCCAAATTACGGACTTGGTTTATTACTATGGAAATACAATTTAACATCTTCTCGATCATCGCTGCTAAAATTAAAATAATATACTTGAAACATTTTTGATTTTCGCGTTAAATACAATATACGAGGACCGTTCAAAAATTACGCGGACTGTGTTATTATTTACTCTTACAGACGTCATATAGTTAGGAAATTTCACAAAAAATGTATCTTTAAGATCCCAATAAATTTTGGGCAAAATATCTGTATTTTAAAAAATTCTACGAAAATTATCGGTATGTTGATATCGCTGATGGAGAGGTACGGAGCACGACAAAAAATTTGAAGCAAAAGAATGCGGAATTCAAAATTTAACTCATAATTTTTCGATAATTGGCGATATTTTTCGACAATTTTCTCAATTGTATCTTTAAATTGTTCTATTATTATGTATTTAGATTTCTGACATGATATTTGAAGTACTAACAGATATAAAGTGACTTTTATCGCAAACGATTCCCATGAAAACGACTGTGAAAATGACGTCTCCTGAATTGACGGCGCATCACACTTTTGTTAAATTACGTGTGATGCTCGAGATATCGCCAACATAGATCCAAAATATGGATAATCAAACATGTAGTGAACTAGGGTATTCGTGACATTCGTCCACAAATAGCAAAATTAAATTTTAAACCGTTAGACCACTGAAAAACCTATATGGGAGGACGGAAGGAAAATTATCGACGAAAACTTCATCCAAATTGTAAAGAACATGATTGATAGTCACCGATATCACACTATATCTCATAAATACCTGCAGTTTTTTGTTTTGATAAAAAAAAAAGAAATATTCTTAACTTTTTTAATAGATTTAAAGCTTGACAAGAAATGTGTTTGGATGTTGAAATAAGGTAACTCAAACTGTACGGGTACTCTTGGGAAAATGTTGAGAAAATGAAAGTCCAATCACACATTTTTTTTATAATGCCTGTGACGTCGAAGATTTTGCTGCTCCGTGACTTAATGATATGTCCTGATAAATCACTCAAAATTGATACCAATTTACAACATTTTATATGAAATTTTGAAGACCATAAAAGTAAAGATTCTTTTATATTATGTGTGCCATTTTGCCCGATTATGTTGTCAAATATTTTTCCTGTGCAACAAGTCCGCGTAATTTTTGAACGACCCTCGTATATGTTTTACCTTGACCTAAAGAAACGGACCGATTGAAATAAATCTTTATTTTGGTCATAACTTTTAAACAGATAGCACTAGGGCTTTTATATTTCACAAGTGTATTTCTTGGGATACGATCTTTCTTTGGATATTTTAAACATAGGCCTTTTGAACTTTATGTACTATAGCTTCTATATTTCACTACTTTTCTTTTCCGACATTTTTTAGTTTTCATTTCCGACATTTTTTTTTTTTTGTTTTCATTTTCGACATTTTTCAGATAGTACTTTTAGTAACAGATTTGAAGACTTTACCAATGAAAAAACTATAGGAAAACAAATCATAAATAAATCATTGAAATCAAATTTCTGAGTATTTGTTTTATCAATGAAATGACTGTAAAAATTGAAAATGCCTACATTAAATTTTTAGTGTTTGACTCAATGTGTATTCTTCGCAGATGTAAAGCAGAAATCAAAGTACTGAAAGTACTCATGGGAGCTGAACATGGTGTAAAATAAAATTTTTGATCGGGGGGTTAAGTCAGTGAACATTATTATTATTTCAAATACAGACAACTGTTTCAGATTTTTTGTGTTGCAACAATCTTGAGAAAGACATTCAGAGACATTGAATAGCAAAAAAAATGCATGGGTCATAATGCTTGCCTGCCTGAAATTTAAAAAATGTCGGAAATGCTATGCAAATTTTCGGAAATGAAATGCAGCGATAAGATCTTCCCTAAGAACCACTGATTTTAACCCTTTGAGCATGACTTTGAAGTGTGAGCCAATTGAAAAAACTTTAATCTTTTCTATATCTTATAACAGGTTAAATCGTGAGCTTTCATATTTCAAATATAAATTTATTGAGACAAATATTTTGTTTGGGAAACAACATTTTTATCTCTTAAAATTGGACCGTTTACGGTAGCACTGTCGGTAGAGCGCTCGCTCCGTGATCGGGAGGTCGTGAGTTCATATCTCGGCCGCGACTGACCTAGTCGTTAAAATTGGTAGCAACTGTTCCTTTGCCATGCGCTCAGTACTTTGAAGTGAAAGTTGCGGGTCCTTCGGATGAGACCTTAAAACCCGAGGCCCCGTGTCAGCGACAGGCGTTGGCACGATAAAGATCCCTCACTGCTCAATGGCCCTGAGTGCCGAGTAAAGATCAAAATTTGAAGACCTTCACCGGCACACGATGACGCCTCCATATGAGTGAAAAATTCTCGAGAAGGACGTCAAACAATATACAATCAATCAATCTCTTAACTTTGGAGCTAGACTTGCATTTGAGAAACTTCAACCCTCGCTGTAAGCTGTCCTAAGTGATTTAAAAATGAATAAACTACGAGAAAACCTATAGTTCCCTCTTGATTCATCGATAGAGGACTTGTAAAACAATCAATCGGACAATGTAGTCTATAACTTTTATGAATATTTTTAATATATTGATTAAATGTTATAAAATTATGATTGCATTCCCTGTGCAGTATACATATATAACATGTTATAATTATATTTATTATACATAATTATATCAAATATCATAGTATTTCCCCATTCCAGAAAATAATAAAATTTTCATTTTGAAATATATATATATTCCATTCGTATTCGTTGAAATTAACTTAATACAAAATAAGTTATCACCCTTTCTGTATAAATACAATTTCTGCATAACTCTCTAAATGGTTGCACAATAGAATATCTACATATTATTTTCATTTATGTAAAAAAAACTTGTCAATTAAAATCTGTATACACTTAATTACAATACTAAGATATCGGCTTCATTAATCTTAATAAGGAGGGCCCGAGTTCACAAACATGGTGCACCGTATGGAAATTTTCATTGGGACATCAAGAAAAATTAAAGGAATGAGAAAAATCAAATTAGGCACATGATGATGCGTAAATAACAACAAATTCATTGATTTTACCAATTACTCATACAATTATTTAGCATAACAACACTAGTCTTGATAACAATATTGCCGAGTAAAGGAAGAAAATTTCTCGTCATAAATGACATCACCAACCTTGACATGACGCAGTACAAGTAATCCAGAGGTTAAACAAAAATGCAAAATAAATATAAAACCATTGCCATTTTTGCTATTTAAAACATTCAAACTAATAAAAATAATTAATCAGATATAAATATTTTGAATTTATCTAGACTCTAAAGATGTGCAACATGCATGCTTTGACAAGGAATCTAAAGAATATCTTTAGAACGATAAGTGTTTTCTAAATTTACAACAAAAGTACAAAGATATACAAAGACTACTGTACTGCAAAATTACCAATTCTTTACAAACAGCAGAAACAATACCCAGCAGTTTTCGAGTAGAGGATGTAAACTTTTCTTTATGTGTATCATTTTTTTTCATTCAAAAAACAAGAGTACATGTACGCCCTTGCACTGGCATCTTTTTTTGAAATTTATCTTAAGAATTCTATTTTTATACCTGTCAAATGACACATAGCTGATACATGCGATATAAGTGGTACTGTTTACGGCACACTCCTATCTATTATCATACGGATATTTGTATGTTCCCTTTCCTACATGTGCATTATGTGTTCGTGTATTTCTTTTACAAAGTTTTTTGAAATAAAAAATACATATTGATACGTTGTTTTATTTCATATTAAAGAACTACAACAATGTTCAGGGCAGTCGGATTAAACAATTTGTTGCTTTTAAAATAAGTAATAATAAACTCTTTACAAACCGACTAATTACCCTGCGATTTCAATCCGGAGAGCCATAATTGTAGGACACTAATCTTATAAGATGTGTAAAAACCGTAAATGATTTTTTCGTACGTAGAAGTTTCCTTTCTAATTATAAAGTTTAAGACAATTGCATTCAAGTTTGAATATACTTTATTCTTTCCGATTAACCGATCACGGATTTTCTAATCAATTACCATTGTTCCGACTGATTACTCGATTAACCGGTTACAAATTGGTATCCCTAGAATATAATTATATATGGTACTTAACAAAGCTTAGGGGAAACATCATTAAGTAAATTTTGAAAGACTGTAAATATGCAAATCCAAGATTTTCATGTTATTTTTCACTTGTAATAATTTGTATATTATTTTGAATTTGATTTGAATTCAATAACAATATCAAATAAATGTTTAAGATCATATTATTGCTTAAAAAGCAGGTATAATGTATCAGATTAAATGACAGTCATGTTTTGGTATAAAGAAAGAAATTTAATTTTAAATATTACTACATGCATGTATACGTCAAGATCATGAAGTGTAGTCTTTGTATAAAAAGAACTTCCGCCAAACAAAACCCTTTTACCACATATTGTAAACAACACAACGTCTAACTTATGGATCATCATTATCAATGTTTAAATGGTTAAGAATAAAATGTGAAACATAAAAAGAGGATAGTTCTAAAAAAAATTATGATATCAATCATGACATGTTTTTGTTTAATTATCATGTGGAATGAAGAATTCCTTTCTTTTTTCCTCGTTGGACTTGAAACAAATTGTGTATAGAAAATCAGCTAAGCTAGGAAAGTTGAATAAACAATAAATGCAGAGTTTTGAAAACCAGTGGCAAAATAAAAAAAAAAGATCTACAAATATTTAATGTTTTCTAGTTTCAAATCATACAACACAAGTTGCATTCAGTTTCCCCATCACTTCTCCTTCTTGTCTTTTTTAAGCCTTTCCCCGACAAAAATTTGAGTACATCAATGTAACGACCCAAGGCTGCAGTATGTAAAGCATTCTCTCCGTTATTGTCTTTGACATCAAGTAAATGAGGATAAGTATTGACCAAGTATTTACACATATCTAGTTTTCCGTTCATACAGCATAAATGAAGCACAGTTTTTCCATCATTTCCCTTGGTTTTGATATCAAAATCTATTTGAATTAGAAATTTGAATAAATCAATGTTACCTCCCCAGGCTGCAGTATGTAAGGCATTCAATCCATTATTGTCCTTGACATCTAGTAAATGAGGATAAGTATTGACCAAGAAATTACTCATGTCTAGTTTTCCGTTCATACAGCATAGGTGAAGTACAGTTTTCTCATCATTTCTTGTGGATTCAATGTCCAAGCCTTTTTCCAACAGAAAATTGAATAAATCAATGTTACCTCCACAGGCTGCAGCATGTAAGGCATTCTCTCCAATATTGTCAGTGATGTTTAGTAAATGAGGATAGGTATTGACCAAGAAATTACTCATGGCCAAGTTTCCGGTAATACAGCATAAAAGAAGCACAGATTTTCCATCATTTCTTTTGTTTTCGATATCAAGACCTTTTTCCAACAGAAAGTTGAACAAATCAATGTTACCTCCCAAGGCTGCATCATGTAAGGCATTCTCTCCAATATTGTCCTTGACATTTAGTAAATGAGGATAAGTATTGACCAAGAAAATACACATGTGCAGTTTTCCATTCATACAGCAAGAATGAAGCACAGTTTTCCCATCATTTTTTTTGGTATCGATATTGAAGCCTTTTTCCAACAGAAATTTGAGTAAATTAATGTTTCCACCCCAGGCTGCATCATGTAAGGCATTCCCTCCTTTATCGTCTTTGACGTCTTGTAAATGAGGATAACTATAAACCAAGAAATAATACATGTTTTCTTTTCCATTCATACAACATAGGTGAAGTACAGTTTTCCCATCATTTCTTTTGGTTTCGATATCAAGGCCTTTTTCCAACAGAAATTTGAGTAAGTCAATGTTACCTCCCCACGCTGCATCATGTAAGACATTTTCTCCATGATTGTCTTTGACATCTAGTAAATGAGGATAAGTATTTAAAAGGAAAATACACATGTCTATTTTTCCGTTCATACAACATAGGTGAAGCACCGTTTTCCCATCATTTCTTGTTGACTCGATATTGAAGCCTTTTTCCAACAGAAATTTGAGTAAATCAATGTTACCATCCCAGGCTGCACAATGTAAGGCATTAGAACCATTATTGTCTTTGACATCAAGTAAGTGGGGATATGTTTTAACCAAAAAATTACACATTTCTAATTTTCCGTTCTTACAACATCTGTGAAGCACAGTTTTCCCGTCATTAGTTTCGTTTTCAATATCAAAGCCTCTTACCAACAGAAAGTTGAGTAATTCAATGTTACCTCCCCAAGCTGCGGCATGTAATGCATTCTCTCCATTATTATCCTTGACATTAAGTAAATGTGGATAAGAATTGACCAAGTAATTACACATGTCTAGCTTTCCTTTCATGCAACATAAGTGAAGCACAGTTTTCCCATCATTTCTTTTGGTTTCAATATCGAACCCTTTTTCCAATAATAATTTAAACAATTCAATATTACCTCCCCAAGCAGCACAATGTAAAGCATTTCTCCCGTTAATGTCTTTGACATCTAGTAAATGAGGATAAGTATTGACCAAGAAATTACTCATGTCTATGTTTCCATTCATACAGCATAGGTGAAGCAAAGTTTTCCCATCAGTCCTTATGGATTTGATATCATAACCCTTTACTAATAGAAATTTCAGTAAATAAATGTTACCTCCCAAGGCTGCAGCATGTAAGGCATTTCCTCCGTTATTGTCTTTGACTTCTAGTAAATGAGGATACTTACTGACCAAGAAATTACACATGTCTAGTTTTCCGTTCATACAGCATAAATGAAGCACAGTTTTCCCATCATTTCTTTTGGTTTCGATATCAAGGCCTTTTTCCAAAATAAATTTGAGTAAATTAATGTTACCTCCCCACGCTGCATCATGTAAGGCATTCTCTCCAATATTGTCCTTAACATTAAGTAAATGAGGATAAGTATTTATCAGGAAATTACACATGTCTAGTTTTACGTTCATACAGCATAGGTGAAGCAACGTTTTTCCATCATTTCTTGTTGATTCGGTATTGAAGCCTTTTTCCAAAAGAAATTTAATTAAATCAATGTTACCACCATAGACTGCAGTATGTAAGGCATTCTCTCCTTTATCATCTTTGACATCTAGTAGATGAGAATAAGTATTTACCAAGTACTTACACATATCTAGTGTTCCGTTCATACAGCATAAGTGAAGCACGGTTTTCCCATCATATCTTTTGGCTTTGATATTGAGGCCTTTTCCCGCCAGAAATTTGAGTAAATCAATATTACTACCCCAGGCTGCAGCATGTAAGGCATTCTCTCCATTATTGTCTTTGACAAACAGTAAATGAGGATAAGTATTGACCAAGTAATTACTCATGTCAAGTTTTCCGTTCATACAGGATAGGTGAAGTACAGTTTGCCCATCGTTTCTTGTGGTTTCAATATCAAATCCTTTTTCCAACAATAATTTGAATAATTCAATGTTACCTCCATAGGCTGCATCATGTAAGACATTACCCCCACTATTGTCTGTGACATCGAGTAATTGAGGATAAGTGTTGACTAAATATTTACACATATCTAGTTTTCCATTCATACAACATTTATAAAGCACATTTTTCCCATCATCTGTTTTTGTTTTGATATCCAAGCCTTTTCCCAACAGAAAATTGAATAGAACAATATTACCTCCACAGGCTGCAGCATGTAAGGCATTTTCTCCATTATTGTCTTTGATGTTTAGTAAATGAGGATAAGTATTGACCAAATATTTACACATATTTAGTCTTCCAAACTTACAAGCTTCATGTAATGGTGTACTTCTACCGTCAGGATATGTTTGCTTTACACATTTTTCTATCAAGTATTCATACAATTCTATATTTCCTGATTGAGCCGACCAGTGTAATGGGGACATACCTGTTTTGTCATAATAATCTGGAGAAAGCAAATCTGGATATTTTTCACAGATATACCTAACCATGTCTAGTTTTCCATTTTGACAAGCATAGCTGAGAACAGTCGAACCAGTATATGATGTTTTATAAGGGTCACATCCACTTTGAACTAATTTTTTAAAGATTGTTTCGCCTCCTGCATAAGCAACGAAATGTAGAGCGTTTCCACCTTGATTGTTTCGAACGTCAATTAGTTGTGGGTAGCGTGTTAGAACTGGCTTAATGAGGTGATTCTGCCCAAAAAAGCAAATTTCGTGTAGTAGACCGCATTCTATGTTATTACAGTGAAAATTATTTGTTAAAGTTCTTTCTTTCAGGTCAACATTATCAGTGAAGCGATAGAGTAAATCTAAATTACCACTTTGCACAGCGTAAAAACAAGTTTTTAAATTATACCTCACATTAGTTAATAGTAGCAAATCAATAATTTCCATTTGGTTGTGTGCACATGCTTCATTTAAAGACAAATATCTTTGTTCTTCTGAAGCTGAAGACAACAGATAATTAACCCATCTAATGTTACCAGATACACAAAAATGAACCAACATTGTTTGCCCACGACTATCAGTATTTTCTTTTAGCCCATTCAAAAAACTTTGATTATTTACACTTTTACAAAAAAATTTCTCGTCCTCCCATATGTGAAGACGAGAAATTGTTTGAAATGCTGCTACTGATCTTTCCTGCAGAATTTCTAGCAATCGTTTAATTAAAACTTGGAAAATATCTTCGACGATAACTACAGAATTCCAATACAGTTTCTTAGAGGTCGTTACCCTTTCTAGAAGGGTAAAATCACAACTCTTGATAATTTCCTTTGGGTAATAAATGACGAGACATTTAAATAAACTATCTTGTATTGAGCTATGACTAAATTTATATTTTTTTTCAATGTCGTCATAAGCCATCAAAAAATGGTAGTAATGAAAGATAGAACTTTGAAAATTCCTTAAAGATGACTTTGTGGTTCCTAACATTTTCAGTGCTTGTTTTTTCCTCGCTCTGTCTTGTAAAGGTGTTTTCAGTACACTTTCTTCCACACTCCCTCCACAGAGAAGAATGTAGATTAAAACTGCCATTTTGCTTTCTTTCCTATCCAGCCTTTGTTTGATATACTTCTGCAAGCTTACAATTGGATCCTTTAAGAAAGCTTTAGCGTCTTCGGAAAATATTGGATTATTTTTCAAGAGGCTACAGCATTGCGGGATTCCAAGTGAATTTCCAAGTTTAATTACATCCAGCATTGTATTTGATGTTAACAATTTATCAAGACCGTACTTTTTAAACATTTCTACTATTTCTGAACTTTGCATTTGAAAATTCCCATTAGATAAGTCAACTGAAGAATTGCTTAAAAATAACTCTTCATTTATTTTATCAGCTGCTTCTTTGCAAATATCATTTCTGATTGTTAGAATTAAAACATTCCCCTTACTGTTCTCATTATTCCATATTGCTTTAATCAAATGTAACTTGGCTTTAAAATTGTCAATCTCATTTGAAACTGAAAACTCCCCAAATAAATTATCTAAAAATAAAGCGACATTTGAAGACGGTGACACGGATCCATACAATTCTTCAACAGTGAACACCTGAAGAGGGAACATTCCTTTCTTCTGTAATTCTGTTAAGACATACATAGCAATCGTGGTTTTCCCGGATCCCGGGTTACCTTTAACAAGGACATACCTATTCGACTCTAAAAGTTCTAATACTCTCTGAATTGCGCGTGTTTCAACAAATACATCCTTTATTTTTAGCTCTTGATTTTCTAAAGCAGCTCTTGTTGTATCTTAAAAAAAAAACAAGAAATACCTTCAAATTGGCTAAAATATTCACATCAAATAAACATTCATCTATTTTTTTTCAAATTTTCATTCTTCTAAGTTTATTTGTATTTCAATTAAGAAATAGATAACAAGTTTATAAACTTCAATGGGAATTGAAGTGGGTCGGTCACATGATCAAATCCTGTGAAGGCCGAAGGCCTTCTCAGAAGATTTGATTACGTACCGACCCACTTCAATTCCCATTGAAGTTTATAAACTTGTTATTTATTACTTATATATACATTTGAGACTGACAATTGAATATTTTCGAATTTAAATTATTGCACTAACCGTCCGTCGTAGATTTTGAAAAATGACGCAAGGTGTAAATCGGCTTGCATGGCAGTTACGCTTCGAATGCATTAGGCTAAGAAATCTATTTCGAAGGGAATATTTTGTGAAAGGCTACTTGTGATCAGTAATAGTGAACAGATTGTTGTCTGGGTATATTTTTATTCGTGAAAAATGATAATCGGTGCTGAAAAGACACAAGAAACGCGTCCGAAGTTTGATGATAAAAAGTTGAAGGAATTTCAGTCGCCGGAAAGGGATGGATGGATCCGATGGATTGAAACATTTGTACGAGCCAGTTAATTTGCAGTTTGATCAAAAACATTCTACGGTTTCAGTAACTAAAGGCATAATTATCGTAAAACACTGATAAACACAGAGACACTGGCGACAGCTTTCCATTGAACTACGAAAACGCCGAGGTGTTTGGCAGCTGTTCATGGCATGATTGCAATGGTATATTTCATATTTACACATTTATCATGAGTAAAATTTAAAGATAAAATAAACGTTTATCATGAAAATTTAAACAAATGCCTACCAAAAAAATAAGGATGAACGTTAGAGACTGTTCATCTGACAAAAGTGAAGAAAAATGTAAACAAACGCTAGGCTCCTAGTTTTCTCTATATACACAGGTTGAATCGATAACCCCAAAACTATGAAATACTTGTTTACATTTTAAATAAAATAAATATCATTTTACTTGCTTATTTTGTTCATTTTTATACATGAAAAGCAAGTAGAGTAGGTCATTTTATAATTTATGTACCGGTAGATATTATTGCGCCGTGTGAATAGGTCACTTTTTGACCTCTGAACTCAGACAAACTTCATACAGAATTGAAGGTATTTTCTCTCTGTATGTTTATATAATAGAGAGATACCACAAATGTATATATTGAAATATGAAGAAAATGATCTTACCCATCTTTGCTCTGATATGCATTTCTGAAAATGAAACAAAATATGAGAAAGATAATGTTTCTTGTTTTACATTTGTATGCTTACTTTGAAACAGCGTGTTGAGTTACAAGAGATGTTTACAGATATCCGATCCTCAGCCAGGGAGGATAACTCAAACATTTAATATTTTATTTGAAATATATCAAAATGAAGCTTGAAAATGATTTTTTTTTTTAATGCAACAATTTTCATTTTATTCATCTTTATAAGATTCAAGGTTTTTGGAAGTCTTGGGAAAGGTATTATAAAAATTGACTTTTGTACCCTATAAAAGGGGAAAAAATTAATGCAGTTTTAGAGAAATAAGATTTTCTTATATCCAACCTTAGATACTAATGCTTATTAGCATGATAAAGAGTGATTTGTGGTGTTTTGCAATTATAGTGAAAGCCTTTTACTTTTTGAAGAATTTGGAAAGCAGAAAGAAAACATTGTTAAAGTAATGGATATGTTTCCAGATGTGAAAAATTTTATGAAAAAAAAAGATTTTTGTTATAGCTCATCAGTAATTTTTTTTTTCCAGGAATCAATATCAAATGTACCTTACATACGTCTATTTTGCAGACAATTATATGGAAATGTGAAGCTGGCAAATTATCAAGCATAATAATCATTATAACTTTTATTGATTAGTTTAAGAAAAAAAGAATTATAGCAGCATTACCAAAGCTTAACTTACCAAAATTCTCAAACCCTCTGTTTTCTATTTTATCTGTAACGAGTAAACTTAGCATTTCCAGAAAATATTATTCATACTATGATACTAAATATAAACTCAAAATCACACTATGTCCGTGAAACAAACATAAAAAGATACTAAAGATAGACAATAAAGATAGATAACGGCGATTTTATTTTAAATCTTTTCAGATCTATATGGTAATATTTAACTCTGTATTCAGTACGATGACTTACCTTTCAGTTCCCGTATTTCTCTGGTGTTTTCTTCTACATCTGAGACCAGTGACTCTGTTTAAGCAAATAGCTATACTACAGTTGACTGCATGAATTAAGGTCCTGATGTTTAAGGTTCATATAATATTACTTGTATTGATGTTTTAACTTTCACCTCATTTGTATCCATATAAATGCTTTTTAGATTTTCTGTTTTTTTTAATATTATCTATCTTTGGCATAGAGATGTTGTCGTAAGATTTCACATGTCCAGACAATTTCCATATATGGACATGATCACAATATTCGATCCCTCTGTGTTGTCCATGATAATTATGTTTCCCATTTGGATGTAAAACTAATGAAACTACTTCGTTTCATATTAAGAAAAAAAATATTCATGTACTCTTCAATCGTTTACAAGTTCATTTCTTAGTGTCAAGATTAGGAGGGTAGGATGAAGGAATTCAATTAAACAATAATATTATCTTCATTCAAATTATTATAGACGTACTTTTTTCCTTTGTCATAATTCCGCGGAATCTCAATTTCTGTTTAATCCGAATGTAGAAAATTACGCGGATTTTCTGAATTGTCACTATATGCCTTACATTTTTATTAAGTACGCTTGGACAAATTTTTGCGGAAAATTTGTGTCCGTGTACATACATGTAGCGAAAATTAATACCATGCGGAAAAAAGTACAGATGATAAATTTTTGTTTTTTTTTCTACATGATTGTGTATAATTAATAGAGATAGACATGATTTGCAATAAAAACAAGCTGTATCAACCAATAGTCGTACCTAATATTGTAAGCTGTTTGATCCATTTCATTTCTTGTTCCGGGTCCATTTTTTCTGTCTTGATAAAGTCTACTGATTGCTGATGTTTGCAAACTCCAAAATAATTATCAACTTCTTCGACAATTTTGCGGATATTGGAAAATTCACTTTGAAAATCTGAATCAGGTAAGCTTATTTGTACGGCATGTCCATAATATTTGTTTCTGATCAGTCTGAGACGCTCAATATTTGCTGATACACTTCTGTCTGTAGGGTCAGGATCATTGCCCCAACCTTTACTGTGTGCTTTTAGTGTAGTCACATTACGCAGGAGGATATAAAGCAAGGATATATCCATATCGGAATAATCACCAGTGTAGATATTTGAAGGCGATGGGAAAATTAAATCGGTTTGTGAATTAAAGAGCGGGTTCCTCTTCTGTGTCTTTAACCAAGTTTTAACGGCTTTAGACAGGTCAGTTGCTGGTACTTCTTTGATAAGCACGTCCCTCATGACGTCAGCACAGGGTCCCAGAATCAGTCGGGAGATCCTTGCTAAGTTTGTTGTTTGTGGTGTAGACGCGTACTTCGAATGGGACATGATCTGGTTTGCCTCTTTTCGAATACTGTATTTAACACTGAATATATGTTGTATCCGATAGCTGCAAATTCTTAGTGACGATAAATTGCAATGTCAAAGGAGTAGATGAAAAGCGAAAAAAAGTCCTTTAATCTGAAAGTAACAGAAAAAATCTACATACTGATTTTTGTTGAAGCATTGAGAATCTTGTCTATTTGTTCTTAATCTATGTAAATTTAATGATGTTCATTTAGATAAAAAAAAAGTGCCTTGCACTTTCATGAAATCCAAAAATGGCTTTCACATTTTCCATTAAATATGTCATACTGATACGTTCATTTTACATTTTTAATTGAACTAAAATTCGTCGGAAGAGTGACATTTAGGTAAAAAAGTGTTTTATAGACAGAAGTTGTAGTTTGTATTAAAGAAAATGTAATAGATTAGATCAATGTTTTTATGCACTTATTAAAGAAATATTTTGGATGTGAAATGAAAAGTTTCGTAATATTAAATATTAACATTGGGGTCATCGTACAGTTGAAAAATAATAAATAAAAAAAATTATTCAAACTACTATATGAATTATTAAACTGGTATATTGTAAGAATTCTTTTGAAAATCTTAAGTTAGGGATGTCAAATATGTCAAATACTGATAATCGAATAGGAGTATTTGAATATGCATGTATTTGAATATACTCGAATATTCGATTAAATAAATACGTCTTGCATTAAAACATACATATATTTGTAACTTCATTCTCTTGCCAACTCGTATATGCTTTAATACAATTATTTTGGTTTATACTCATTAACAATAAAGTTTTCTTTTCTTAGATTTTCGTAACTTTCAAACATACTTTGGAAATATTTATTTAACAAGAGGCCCACGGGTCTTATAGGTCACCTGAGTATCATTTAACAACTTTCCAACAATTGAATTTGGTTCGTGTTTTTATACTAGAGCCCATGAAATTCACAATTGTGAAAGAGGCACCATTGCTTATCATAATTAAAAACTTGGCATGCTTACTTTATTTACTTTATACCTAGAGGAAAATCAGAGTAACAAAGAAAAAATGCACTTCCACTTTATATTTAGTTGTGCACCCCAATTCAAAGAAACCACTTACCATGGAGCAACATATTTCAAAATTTTGTAAATTTTATCATAAATTTTATTTCATCATAAATGATTACCCACCCCCTCCAATACCTCTGGCCCAGGGGGCGTGAAATTAATCATTTTTCTGAATGCACCTTTCTTCATCATAAATATGTATATATATATATATATATATATATATATATATATATATATATATATAAACTTGGATCATTAGCAATATCCAGGAGCAAAGGAAAAGATTTTCAAAGAATTCATGTATGTTCACTGTATAATCAAAAGACCCCCCCCCCCTTACACCAAATGTCAAAACCTCTTACACAGGGGCCATGGATTTTTGTTGATGCATTATAACTAAGTACTAAATTAGTTTATTTAATACCCAGGAGCAGAGAAGAAGAAAGAATTTATGCATTTTCACTAGATGATCAATAAAACCCTGCCCTAACACCAGAACCCCTGACCCTGGGGCCAAAACATTCACAATTTGGGAAGAGGCAATTTTGCTCATCATAACTATATACTTAGTTTATTTAATACCCAGGAGCTGAGAAGATTTTCGAAGATTTAATGAATTTTCACTATAAAACACCACAACCCCTGACCCTGGGGCCATAAAATTCACAATGTTGGAAGAGGCACTCTTGCTCATCATAACTATGTACTTAGTTTATTTCCTACCCAGGAGCAGAGAAGAAGATTTTCAAAGAATTAATGCATTTTCACTATATATAATAGAGGCCCGTCCTTACATCAGATCCCCTGACCCTGGGGCAATGAAATTCACAATTTTGGTAGAGGACTCAATGGTTATTACATTCGTGCTAACAGTTTGCCTGTTTGATGTCCAGGAGTAAAGATGAAGATTTTTAAAGATTTCATTAATTTTAGTGGATTTTGCTTCACCCCTCAGGCCCAAGGGGGGGGGGGGGCAGGGACCATGAAATTCACAATTTATGTTCACCGTCACCCATAGATGCTGTATCCAAAATTTGGTTTAAATTGGTTTAGTGGTTTCAGAGAAGAAGCTTAAAATGTTCAAATGTTAACACACGATACAACGAACAACGACGGATGAAAATGGATTGCAAAAAGTCACCTGAGTGACTCAGATGACCAAATGATAATTAAAAACGGTTAAATGATATTATCAAATTTAAGGTAGTCCGATCTTCAGGTTTATAAAATCAACAGTTAAGGAATCAAAAATGCTCATAAAAATTTCTCTGAATCCACAAAAATATATTAATTTATCAACAGTATTTCTTGTTTGAAGATTAGAGGTAATTATATAACGTATATATGGAAAATTGTCAGATCAACAATGTTTTTGTTGACTGACGTTTTTCATACTAATTATTAGTCCACTATTTATTCTCTGAATTGACGATATTTTTTTTATTATTACACGATCATGACAATGTATAATTATATTCCTTTTATGGGGTACAAATGTCAACTTTTATAAGACCTTTTTTTACATGTAAGACTTCCAAAACATATGAATCTTATAAAAATGAATAAAATGAAAATTGTTGTATGAAAAAATTTCATTTTCAAGCTTCATTTTGATCCATTTCAAATTAAATATTAATTTTTGGAGTTATCCTTCCTGGCTGAGGATCAGATATCCTTAACATAGTGTAAAAGACAACTAAGAACGTTTTCAGTATGTAAGTGCTCTGTGACCCCCACCCCCTTCAAACATACATTATTTATTTTAAAAAATATAACCTTATACGTGTAGAATCTGAAAATATACGTACTATTATTAACAAGTTTAGTGCTTAACCAACCTTATTTTAATTTACTTTTCTATCGTCAACTCCCTCACTTATGCAGCAATATATACAGTATAATCGTTTTTTTCGTGTGTTTAAAATTTTGCGGAAAAAGGGGTGGATTTGAACAGTTGTTATTTTGCGTAAGTTATTCTTTACGATTGAAGATTTTTTCTCAGGAATGGTAATGTTTTTATGTCAGATTATACCTATATTCATTATATCTGAGATACCTTTCTCTTCGGAAAACATAGAGCACAAGCTTACCTATCTGAGATCTTATACACATAAACTGCCACTGGTACAACAAAATGTGCTGCCAAATCAATAAAATTTTGCAAAAAATTGAGAAAATTCGAAAACTGACTTTTTTTTTACCTCTCTGTGACATTTGTGTATTCCAAAACTTAAAAATTATATTCATTTCTAAGTAGAGATGACGACAGGTTTTTATTGGTGATCTGTTGCATTCTTCTAAAAGATACTGAAAATCAGGGGATACTGAAAAAACTTCTTGTTAAAGCTAGGAATCGTTTTTAATTATGTAAAAGAACTTTTTTTTACGATTTCACACACTATTTACAGAGAAAAACGATATGTTTACTATACATTTAAACATCCAAAACATAAACTTCTTGGAATGTTTCAAGCTAGATTCTGCATTTAGCTGTATAGTGAGTTTTCTTGATAATATATCAGTATATATAAAATGACTCATGGAATGTAGGAAAACTTAAGTTTACGAAACAAAACTTTGGCGTATAATGACTGTACTCTAATATTAAATACGCTTTGTTCATATAAGAGCATTTTTCCTGTTTTCAATACTCAAACTTATTAACAAATTATTATATTATGATGACTAAAGCTATCAACTTCATACATCGGATCTTTGTTTCCTGCTTCACTTACCCTCTGTAACACATTTGCTGATTTCCTTCACGGGGTTGAATTGTTTTATTTTATTTTTCGCACCATAATGTGATATTAATAGCCACAGAACAGTTACATTATGGTTTGATATATTAGTCTTTCGTTATAACGCCGTAATGCAAGTAAGGTGCAATTTACTCGCAAGAATTTCTGTACTCTGCTTAGCAACAATAATCTAGCCCTCGCCGATTTTTTAATCTGAATTTACCTGAAGAGGGCTACAGTTCCACAGCATATCCGTAATGGTGCAAACATATTTGTTACTTTTTGGCATTTTGAGATTTCTCTTTGGAAACGGTAGAATTTTGAGGTTTTTTTTTTTTTTACACTTAATGTACAATATAGTATTACTCATTATGTATTATAGATTGAGCAAAAAGTATATTGTAGTATTTTTATAAATTGTTAACGGAGGAACAGGACCTTAAGCTGAAAAAATTCCTGTCAATGAATTTTTTTTTTCATATTTTTCATATTACTAATTTAATATGTGCTTAACATTTTAAAACGGTCCTGTCATTGGATTTCTTGACTTATTTAAAAGATATCGCCCCAGAAATACCATCCTGTTTAGAGTTTGCATGGAGTTTAGATACTTCTTGTTTACGGGACCATAACGGAGTCAATAATGCGAATTTTTAAGTACAAACGATAAATATGATATATAACACTATATACTCAAATATTTCATAATATTCATAGTGTTTAAATTATCTGAAAGCAATTATTTTAATTTTATAAAGTATTTGGATGGGATAATTTCTGCATATTTCAAGGCAGCTTCAACGACAAAACCTCATTTGGAAAAAATTCTGTCAATAAATATATCTGAATTTACGATTGAATGTCAGTCCTTCATCGTAATTATTTACTGCATAAATATCACAGGGTGAAGCTTACCTCAATATCGCACAGGACATCGTTGAATTAGACGTAAGCATGATAAAAACGCTTCACGTTTGTATTTTCCGAGTGCGGGAAATCAATTGTGACGTCACACGAAAATATAAACATTCAAAATTATCTAAATAGAAAGAATCTCTGCTACTTAACACGAAAAAATATTAATTTTAAAAAATCTGCTTCAGAAATTTATCACGATACATTGACTGTGACCTGTTTATTATGAAATAAAACTGATCATGACGGGGTGTGTGTACTTGATCTCGCTGCACTGAGGATTCAAACACTACGTCTATGACGTCACTGACGACAGACTGCAGGGTAAAGAGAAACAATTGTGTGGATTGGGTAGCTTCACAATATCTAAGTGATGGCAAGATCTCAAAAAAAATTTTTGATAATAATTTC